TTTTTTTTTTTTGGTACTAGGGAATGAGCTCAGGGGCCCTCATCCACTGAGCCCCATCCCCAGCCCTATTTTGTATTTCTTTAGAGACAGAGTCTCACTGAGTTGCTTAGTGCCTTGCTAAATTGCTGAGGCTGGCTTTTATCCTCTGTCTCCTCTTCCCAAACCTCTGGGATTAGGTGTGCGCCACTGCGCCCAGCCTGTTTTTTTTCTTTTTTTCAAAGCCTCCACATCTGTGAGAATTTGTTTTGGCGACCCTAGGAAACTAATATAGTTAGAAAGACTTTCCTGAGTCTAAAGCAGTGTTTTCATCCTTTTCTTTATTGTTGCCCCAATTCCAAAGAGAAACATTAGACTAAAATTAAATATGGAATTTAATTTCTCTTTTAAAGAGAAATTATTAAGAAATATTTTTTTTTGGTTTTGTGCATCTTGTTCTCTTCAAATTATCAAGGAATAAATTTTTGYCAGATAGTCTTGAGCTACTGTGGGACACAGCCCTTCATATTGCCTAAGATTTCCCCATATCAAGGACCATTTTTTGCTGCCAGGAGTAACTGAATGTTAACCGAATATTTGAGAATGCTCAGTTTGTAAGTACAGAAAATAATTTAAAAGGATAAAATGACAAGGAGAAGGCAGCATTGACGATGCAGGCTGAATAAATAAAAATTTAGRCCTAATAATATTTTTTAAAGTGTATTTAGAGAAAAAAAACTATTATGTCAGTATGCACACTCTTGACAATAAGAATTATTTAAGAAGAATAGTAAGAGTTGAGACCATATCTTATTTGACATCTCATTCCCAGTACCTAATAYATTTTGACACATATAAAACCCCCAAAATGTCTGTTGAATAAATGTATGTGTGCACCTATGTAAACTTTGATAGCAGTATACTATAAAAATATAGAGGTGTTTAAGGTTTGGATTATTTAGCAACTCATGGGCTGGGCCTGGATGAGGTGTGATGGGTAGAGAAGAGCCCAAGGGCCTTCCTGGTATTGGACAGAGGTAGGCAAAAGATGGACACATCCCAAAGCCCATCAGCCCCAGCAGAACATGAGGGRACAGCTGGTCTGGAGCACCAGGGAGGCAGTGGGCCACCAGCTTTGTAGGCTGTTGGGCATACACTGTAGAGGACATTGACAGATGGACCAGGGAGTCTGGATTTTGTTCTGCAGGCAACAGGGAGGCACCATACATTTCCAGCAGTGTCTGTGTCCTAATCTTCTCTTTTTATAAAGACACCAGACATCTTGGATCAGGACCCAGTGCAATGATGTCTTTTAAAGCAAATTACATCTTTCAACACTCTGCCTCCAAGTTTAGTTATTTTCTGCATTTTAGCAGGCAAGGACTTTATGAGATTTTGGGAGTAGATGGGGAGTGAGGGGAACAGTTCTGCCCATAAAACACCTATCTRTGTAAATTTTATACCAATTTTTATAACACTGGTTGAACCTGTTTTTATTTCTGATGTTTAAATGAATTTTCCCCAGRTTTACAATAAATTAAAATTCTCTTTTTAATTTCCTTTCAGTATCTTACTCTTGACACATTGATACTGTCACTTAGTCACTTTTAGATTCAATTTACAAGAAATTTATGATAGAATATTTTTTCTTACTACCTCCTCTCAGTCTTAAAATTCAACAAATGAATGGAACTGTTTAAATGACAGCATGTCTCCYTTGTTTGTAAATGTCATTCAATGCTATCTTATTATCATCAAAATACTTGATGTTGAATTATTTGATTTTTATCAAGTTTCATTTTTGGTTAATTCATCAAATATGAAAATTACTTTTGCCCCTTCCAGATTATAATTTTCTCTTCTCAAAGCAATAATATACACATACAAGATGCAGCAGTCTGAATTACTCCTCTGTCTACCAACAACACTGGACTTCCCTTACTTAAATGGCATAAAAATTCATTTTTATGGTATCTTAAGAGTGCTGTATTTAAATAGTACTTTGACGTGAAGGTACACACTGGGGTCTGGACCCAGGGCCCTTTC